GTCTTCTGTTTGCTGCTGGTCTTTGTTTTCCTTATCATGGCCGAGCCAAAACCTGATGTGAAATCTTCAATAGCTAAGGATGATGAGTTACCTAAGTCTATTAAGAAATTAAATGGTCTAAATTATTTGGCTTGGGCTCATGTTGTTAAGATTTTCTTGCTAAATTATTTGGCTTGGGCTCATGTTGTTAAGATTTTCTTGCGTAGGAAGAAGTCGCATTTTTGAACTGAACTTCCACCTGGTATGTTGCTACTACAATGGAATTCTGTGACACCTCTAAGGACATTTGGGACTCCCTTGCTGATTCTTTTTCCAATCAAAGTAACGTCACTCGTGTTTATGAGTTATATGAGCAGATCTTTGCTACCCCGACAATCTAACCGTCCTCTTCCTGAATGTTACAATGGCCTTCAGACCTTATGGGATCAATTATTGCAACACCGACCTTTTACTAATGATTTGGCTCAACGGAAGAAATATTGGGAAGAATTTATGATGGCATCCTTATTTTTGGGTGCTAATGCCTATTCTCAGCTATTGCGCTCTTCTTTGGGACAGAGTTCTTCCACATCTGGTTCCTCTCAATCATTGTCCTCTTTTGCCTTGATCTCGAGCAGTGGTGACCGTGAGACTAACCGTGGTAATTCTAGTCACCGTGGATCCCATACTAGTTCTCGTAGTGGTGGTGGTGGTGGTGGGCGTGATACTGGCTCCTCATCCCGTGGTGATCAAAAGTGTACTCATTGTGTTTCCTTGGGTCATTCTGAACCCTGGTGTTGGTAGAAGTATGGTAAACCTGATCATGTGAATCAAGATATGGATGTTCCATCCTCTCAATCGACATCCTTTCCTTCTAGTCCTAGTGCTGCCCCAACTGATTCTGATGATGCACTCACCACTCAAATTAGCGAGCTTATTGAGCTAGTCAATTCTCTTTATACTACTCTTCCTTCATCCTCTACGGCTACATTGGCTAGTTCAGGTAATACTGCATGTATAGCTCAATCCCAACCTTAGTTTCTAGACTCAGGAGCTAGTTCTCATATCTCTGGTAATTTCTCTCTTTTTCATACTCTTTATCTGGTTACCCATAATATTATACTAGCTAATCGATCCTCCCGACCTATCAGTGGCTAGGGTACACTTCAGCCCACTCCATCTCTCTCCTTACCCTCTAGTCTCTATGTTAACTCTTTCCCATTTAATTTTCTCTATGTTAGTCAATTAACTAAAGTTCTTCACTGCTCTGTAACCTTTTCTCCCTCCTCGTGTTTTGTAGGACCTCTAGACCAAGAAGATGATTGGTTCGGGGCATGAGAAAGATGGCTTATATTTTCTAGACACTAATGGCTCTCCTCCTCCTACTTCTGCTATTTTGAGTGCTACCGTGTCTCCCTTACAATGGCATTTTTGTTTGGGTCATCCATCCTTGGCCAAGCTTAAGTAAGCTATTCCTAGTTTAAGTCATATGTATCAGCTTGAATGTGAAGCATGTCAGCTTGGCAAACATCACCGCAGTTCCTTTTCTAGTCGTAGTATCAGTCGTGTGTTTGCGTCCTTTGATGTAGTCCATACAGACATATAGTGTCCTTCTCGCACTCCCACTGTAAACCGATTTTTTTATTTTGTTATTTTTCTAAATGATTACGCTTGAATGACTTGATTTTTTTTACTACAGCAACGGTTTAACTTGCCTCAAATAATTTCTAAGTTTTATAATGAAAGTTTTACTTAGCTAAGGAAACGTATTAAAATATTTCGGTCTGATAATACCTTAGAATATGTGTAGTCTGTTGTGAATACTTTTGGTGATGATCATAGTATTATACATCAAACTAGTTGTGCTCATACGTCCTAGCAAAATTGTGTCGCTAAGTGAAAACACTGCCACTTGTTAGATATTGCCCGGACATTGATGTTCAACATGCATGTTCCCAAACAATTTTGGGGTGATGCTGTGCTTACTGCATGTTCCCTTATTAACTGCAGGCTATCAGCTATTTTACAAAATCGGTCTCCATTCTCTCAATTATACCCCACTTGTTCCCCGTTTCCTCTTCCTCGTGTTTTTAGTTGTATGGCCTTTGTCCATGTCCTTGATTCGGGACTGGATAAGTTATCTCCCCGTGCTCGCAATGTGTTTTTTTAAGTTATTCTCGTACTCAAAAAGGTTATTAGTGTTATCATCCTGAGTCTCGTTGGTCCTTTGTTAGTGCCGATGTTACTGTTTTTGAGTCCTCTTTTTTTTCCCTTTTCTGGTCAGCGATTGTCAGATGATCTTATCTCTTGTCGTGAGGGGGAGTCATCTTTTCCCACTGCTACTCTTTCGGTGCCCTTTGTCTCCCCATCCTCTCCCTCCCCTTCCATCAATTTAGATTCTTCTCCACCATCTCCTCTACAAGTTTATCAGCGGTCCCAAGCTCATCGCATTGTTTCTTGTGGCCCAACTACTTCATCTTTGTCAGAGGCTCCTGCCCCTCCTCTACCTATGGCATCTAATGATTTACCTATTGCATTGCGCCGAGGTAAACGTACTTGCACTCAACATCCTATTGCTCATTTTGTTTCTTATACTCGTCTCTCTCCTAGTTTTCACTCCTTTGTTTGTTGCTTATCTTGCCTTTCTATTCTGTCTTCTTATCAACAGGCTTTGTCCATGTCAGGCTGGAAACATGCTATGGATAAGCAAATGGGTGCTCTTCATCAAAATCAGAGTTGGGAACTTATACGTCTTCCTTCTGGGAAACCTATTATTGGTTGTCGTTGGATTTATACTTTCAAGTGTCATCCTAATGGTACTGTTCAGTGGCTCAAAGCCCGTCTAGTGCCCAAAGGTTATACTCAAACCTATTATGTTGATTATCTAGAGACTTTCTCTGTTGTGGCTCGGCTTAATTCTATTCGGATTCTACTTTCTGTTGTGTTGTCAATTAGTGTTGGCCTTTATATCAACTTAGTATAAAGAATGCCTTTCTTCATGGCGATTTACACGAGGAGGTCTATATGGATCAGACCCCTGGCTATATTGTTTCTGGTAGTGAATATGGTTTGTCAACTATGGAAGGCCTTGTATAGACTCAAGCAGTCTCTTCGTGCTTGATTTGATCGCTTCAGTACTGTTGTGCTTACATATGGGTTTTGTCGTTCTACTTCCGATCACTCTATTTTTGTTCACAACTCATCTACTGGGGTCATTGTTCTCAATGTCTATGTGGACGACATCATTTCTGGCAGTGACTCCACTGGTATTGCTGATTTGAAGCTTTATTTGGGTAAGCAATTTCATAATAAGGACATGGGCCGTCATCGATATTTTCTTGGGATTGAGATTGCTCGCTCATCTCAGGATCTATTTCTTTCTCAATGCAAGTATGTTCTTGATTTTCTTTCTGAGACTAGTCTCTTGGGCACTCATCCTAGCGATACTCCTATGGACTCCTCGGTTAAACTCAATGGTGAGACTATGGCATTGTTTCTTGACATTGGTCAGTATCGTTGTTTAGTTGGAAAGTTAATTTATCTTATTGTCACTCGTCCATATACTACTTATACTGTGAGCGTTGTTAGCCAGTTTATGCATGCTCCTCGCCAACCCCATTTTGATGTTGTTTGTCATATCTTGCATTACCTAAAATGAGCTCCAGATCGCGGTCTACTCTACCATTCCTCATCTTCCTTGTCTGTCATTGCCTTTAGTGATGCTGATTAGGCCGGTAGTTGACCATCATTCTACATCTAGATATTGCACATTTGTTGAGGATAATCTTGTTGCTTGGCGTAGCGAGAAACAATTGGTTGTTGCTCATTCAAGTGCTGAGATTGAGTATCATGCCATGGCTCATACCGCCTTAAGATGTTATGGGTTTGTTGTCTTCTGCAGGATTTTGGTATTCGTGTTCCTACTCCAATGACCATGTGTTGTGATAATCAAGCTGCTATTTTCATTGCTAATAACCCCGTGTTTCATGAGCGCACGAAGCATATTGAGATTGATTGTCATTTTATTCGGAATTTGTTGTTGCGAACTTGTGACACCGTTTGTACACTATAATTAGGTGATATACTCACCAAACACCTTGCTCACTCTTCGTTTCAACGTCTATCTACCAAACTGGGCATGTTCGATCTCTGCATTCCAGCTTGGGGGAAAGTGTTAGAATATATAGTCATCTGTTATTTTTTGTGTTAAGTGAGGGTACTATGGTCATATGGTCATATTATATTTCATATAAATATTTGTTGTTTGTTTTAGGTTTATTTTAATAACCTAAGAACATACATTAAATAAAAATCTTCCTCTCCTTGTTCCTTCTTTCTTTCTCTCTAACCCTAATCTAAGTTTTTCATACTTTTACACTTCAACTGAAACCACATTTCAAAATTTTCTTCTGAAATAATAATAGCCAAAGCTGTTTGGTGGCAATGATAGATAGAATAGAAGTTCAAGAAGCAGTAGTACATATAAAACGTAAATAAAAAATATAAATAAATTTAATTAAAAAAACAAAAACAAACAAGCTAAGCATCATTAAATTACCAAAGAATGACATCAGGCCCGTTGCATACCAAGAGCATGTGGCAATTGATGAAGAAAAGCATCGCCTAGCATAGCTCCCGCCTGCAAATAGCAAAAATTCATAGAACGTAAGCAGCCTCATAACAAAGAAACTGAAGAAACAAAATCCCACAGATGTGCCATTTCACCCAAAGAATTAGTCCCCCATTTGCTAAACAACCAACTAGTAACTAAATAAAGATTACATTAGTTCGAACTAAGTTTTTCATACTTTTACACTTCAACTAAACCACATTTCAAAATTTTCTTCTGAAATAATAATAGCCAAAGCTGTTTAGTGTGGCAATGATAGATAGAAGTTCAAGAAGCAGTAGTACATATAAAACGTAAATAAAAAATATAAATAAATTTAATTAAAATAACAAAAACAAACAAGCTAAGCATCATTAAATTACCAAAGAATGACATCAGGCCCGTTGCGTACCAAGAGCATGTGGCAATTGATGAAGAAAAGCATCGCCTAGCATAGCTCCCGCCTGCAAATAGCAAAAATTCATAGAACGTAAGCAGCCTCATAACAAAGAAACTGAAGAAACAAAATCCCACAGATGTGCCATTTCACCCAAAGAATTAGTCCCCCATTTGCTAAACAACCAACTAGTAACTAAATAAAGATTACATTAGTTCGAAAACTAAGGAACATCAACAACTCAAAGATATCTAAGAGAGAGAGAGAGAGAAAGTAATGAACAAATTTTATTGCAACATATCAACTCAAAGTCATCCAACCTTTTGTCGATTAGCTATGGACAAATTTTATTGCAACATTGAATACTAAATATCCAAAGCTTAGCACATGTAGTAATCCAAGTAGTAGTCACAAATTAGAAAGTAATCCATCATCATAATTATTGAAGCGACAAAAAAATCAAGCAATTCAAACAGCTTCTTGAATAAAATAAAATAAAAATCCATGTCCTCAACAGATGTAACAGCCAAAAACATAGAAGAAAGTAGCAATTCAAATTCATAAACTCAAACAACATGAAAAAAAATAATAATAATAAAAAAGGCAGGAAGAATCAGACCCCAAATAAAGCCAATGAGTCGAGAACTGCCTTGGATGGTTTTCCTTGTACTGAAACAAACCAAAAAAGTTAAAATTGGTATATGGAGAGAGACAGGCATCTTCAATAAAAGACAATAATGAATTCAGCAAAAACAACTGCTCAAGATTATCAAGCAAATGAGGGAAGCCATGCTCACCAAAAATGAAATGTATTAAAAACAATCAAACAAAGAAACGTAACCTTGTTTTGAGATCTACTCAACAATACACAGATCAATTGGAATTCGTCCAGTTAATTTCAGCAAAGTGAACAACATTAAATCGTTCAGTAGTTCAAACTCAGCATATCAATCTTGAGGTTGTCGGTTCAAACTTGAGGACAGCCACTTTGTGCAAATAATACCACAAAAAAATTGTGTTCTTAGGTAGGGGTTTTTTGTTGTTTCTTTGTTTCTGAATTGGTAGGATGAGAAGGAAACCCTAATTTTAGTGGTAGTAGATGAGAGCAGAGAGACAAAAAACAGGGGAAGTATGGATTTGTGCCAAAATGGGGTTGAATGCAACACTGATTTCTGGCCGGTTGAGCATCCGATTGAGCCGCCGGATGAAGATCAACCCGTCAAATGCCCAAAGCCAGACTCCTCAGTTATGAATGTAAATGGGGTAAATTACGCTTAAATTAGGCTTTGCCTCCCTACCGTTTTACCTATTTTCCATTTTGGATCTTTAAATTTAATTTTTTTCACTTTGGTCTTTCATATTTGCAATCCTTCCTTCTTTACCCCAACACTAACTTTCATAAAAAAAAACTAACAGAATCTGCCACATTACCAACACATCAGCTCCATATGTGATGTAAAAAATTCACTAAAGATGCAAAAAATAAAAAATAGAAAAAAAAAATTGAAATTTGAAATTTTTTTTAGTCTTTAATGAACTTTTTTTTTCAAATTTATTCATAAACATTATTACATTATAGATGCATCTGGATTAGATGCACCTACAAAAATAAATACAAATTTAACTAAAAAAGAAAAAAATTTAATAAAGAGGAAAAAATGAAAATATACTGACTCAACACCTGTATTATCAATTTTGAAATAAAAAGTTTATTATCATTTTTTTTTTCCTTTTTTTAGTTAAATTTGTTTTTATATAATGTAATAATGTTTATGAATAAATTTGAAAAAAAGTTCACTAAAGACTAAAAAAAATTAATTTTTTGTTTTCTATTTTTTATTTTTTTGCATCTTTAGTGAATATTTAATGTTTATGAATAAATTTGAAAAAAAAGTTCACTAAAGACTAAAAAAATTAATTTTTTGTTTTCTATTTTTCATTTTTTTGCATCTTTAGTGAATATTTTGTTTTACACGTGGAGCTAATATGTTGGTGATGTGACAAATTCTGTTAGTTTTTTGGATGGAAGTTAGTCTAGAAGTAAGTAGGAATGATTGCAAACATGAAGGGCTAAAGTAGGAAGGATTACAAATATGAAAGGCCAAAGTGAGAAAAATTAAACTTAAAGGGCCAAAATGGAAGGATTGCAAACAAAAAAGGCCAAAGTGGGAAAGATTGCAAACATAAAGGACCAAAGTGGAAAAAAAAAAGGGGCCAAAGTGAGAAATATATGAAACTTTAGGGGGGGCAAAGTGTAATTTACCCAATGTAAGTGAATAAGTTTAAGTTTTATTAAATTGACATTGATTTATTATTATTATTATTATGGAAATACACTAATTTCATATTTTTTGTGTCATAAGTAAAAAAACAAAATTTATAACTAAATAGAACATAAGACATAATTAAAAATCTCATCAGTCATGATTAAAATAATATTATATCTAAAAAAGAAAATAATATAATTAGGACGAATTACACTAATAGTCCTTATAATTTGAGTCTCGTGTCACTTTGGTCCCTAATTTTTCAATTGCGACGCATTTGATCCTGAATTTTGAATCTTGTTCCAAATAAAGACAATTGAAGATATCATTACTTAATTTCAAGGGCAAAATCATCAATTTGATAAAATATACACTAATTTGACAAAATAAATGTCAAAAAAATATTTTTAAAATATTAAAAATTGTTTCTACCTATTAAAGATAAACTTATATAAAATTGATAAATCTTTTAGACATTTATTTATTTATTTATTTTACCAAATTAATTTTTATTATGTGTTTGGATGATGATCATGTAATGGGTGATAGGATTTTAATGTATAATCGATATATTTAATATATAAAATATTTTTAGTTTTGGATTTTTTGATTTAATGGATTGGTTTAATAATGATATCAAAATTGTTGCCATATTTTACTTTTGGAAAAAAAAGAAACAAATTTATTGAAAATAAAAACAACCACGCATTACATGATTATCATCCAAACCAAAATTAATTTGGTAAAATAAATAAATGTCTAGAATATTTATCAATTTTACATAATTTTATCTTTAGTAGGTAGAAATAATTTTTAAAAATTCAAAAATATTTTTTTGACATTTATTTTTTGGCATGCCACACCCAATCAATATGTTTTTTTGGGTTGTTTGCCTACTTGGAAAAACTGTCATCAAACATGGACATCAGAAGACTCAAACAAGAAACAACTTCACCATATCTCAATTTCAGAATCCAAGAAATGCAAGCTGCCTCGTGGCAGGAGAACTTTAGTGCCTCTGCAAAATTCTCTTCTCCACATAAGTAGCATTATGACCATTAACGCTAATTAAATGTTTACCAGTGCACAAGCTTAAATTCTTTTGATTCATTGAAGTGCATAAACTGCTCAACAAGTAATCACCATGGCCCTTCTTCTTTGAAACTCGCCTCGAATCACATTACAGAGAGCTGCGACGATCCACACAACCTTGCCGTCGCATCCCACATTTTACGCCCTGCGTCGCCGCCTTCAGTGACATCATCAAATGTGTTGGGTGGGCCTCAATCGACTATAGACGGAATTTCAGGAGCTAGATAGATACAAGAAGAAGATGTGAGGATTCAAGATCTGCTACGAACTCAGATTGGCTTCACCATGCTCCGCTAGCGCTGGACGTCAATGATGCTAATGAGAGAGAATAAAGAGAAACACAGTTAAGGGAGATAAGAGACACAACAAATAAAGAGAGAGAGATTCGATAATGGAGAAGTTGGTAAAGAGAGAAGTCAAATTTCTCTATGATATATAGGTGTGGAGGTTGAAGGACCTTAGATATTATATAAATGTCAAAAAAATATTTTTAAAATATTAAAAATTGTTTCTACCTATTAAAGATAAACTTATATAAAATTGATAAATCTTTTAGACATTTATTTATTTATTTATTTTACCAAATTAATTTTTATTATGTGTTTGGATGATGATCATGTAATGGGTGATAGGATTTTAATGTATAATCGATATATTTAATATATAAAATATTTTTAGTTTTGGATTTTTTGATTTAATGGATTGGTTTAATAATGATATCAAAATTGTTGCCATATTTTACTTTTGGAAAAAAAAGAAACAAATTTATTGAAAATAAAAACAACCACGCATTACATGATTATCATCCAAACCAAAATTAATTTGGTAAAATAAATAAATGTCTAGAATATTTATCAATTTTACATAATTTTATCTTTAGTAGGTAGAAATAATTTTTAAAAATTCAAAAATATTTTTTTGACATTTATTTTTGTCAAATTAGTTTATATTTTATCAAATTGACAATTTTACCCTTGAAATTAAGCCATGGTATCTTCAATGTCCTTATTTGGAACAAGATTCAAAATTCAAGGTCAAATGTGTCACAATTGAAAAGTCAGGGACTAAAGTAACACAAGCCCCAGACTATAGAAACCGTTAGTGTAATTCACCCATATAACTAATGGTGCATATAGTACATCCTTTTTAAGAGAGGTGTATATTAAAATTTTCTTATTCTTATTATTATCATTGGTTTGTGAGTTTTATGAAATTGATATTGATGATGTTTGTGAAGATTTGCTACACTTATTGGTTCAAGTAATTTGTTTTGTGTAATTGGAATTTTTGTTACATACCTATTTGGCATATCTCAATGTTTTACGAGTTGCTTTTTAATTTATTTTTTAATTGTTGTGCTTATTTATGGGTGTTGCTTAGTAGCTCGAACTTTTAGTGATTCAAATTGGATTGATGATGTAGCGATGATATAGAAAATAATTATTAAATTATTATTATTATTATATTTTTAATTATTTATTTATTTTTAAGGATACTAATCCTAACCCTAATTATTCTTGATAATATGCGATTTTATTTTATCAACACTTTTTCTAGTAAATTCTATATCTTTCGTAGCACCAGTATTAGTAGATTTTGTAAAAAAGTACGATATTGTTGACAGTTTGCGATTAATACTAGTACTTGATTACGATCTACTAAGAGATCTTGGATATAGAAATGATGATAAATACTCATAAAAAGGAAAAACTTATTACTTGTAATTTTAAGATGTTTTGATTTTAGGCCCATTATGTTTCCAAAATAAGAACAGTAACTAAGGATTATGATCGTTACCTAAACGTAGTTGGCATAGGGCTCTGACATTGGCAAGTTTACAGTTTACAGAGGTGACCAACTTCAACCTTTCCTTCCTTAGATCAGACTCAGCATAGATCTATTTCGTTTCCTACCTCAGACAGTCAGTTTAGAAATTACTTCTTTGATTAAGTAGGAGACCTAATATCAATAATTTGACATACAATAGTAACACACTTTTTATGAAAATAAAAACTTTTTTATTTATTGAACAAAAATTTACAAAGAAATGAATTTCTGCAGATTGTTAGATTGCTAAAGTATTGTTTGCTCTAAGAAGGCCTAAAAACCAGACTTCTTTCTTAGTCTCAAGTATACTAAATAATCTTTATCCCCTTTTGCTCTCCCTCAAGGCCTTTATATAGGCACCTTGTAGACTTCAAAGTCTGGATTTCAACATAAAACTATAAACATAAAATATTTTACATATTATATTTTATTGTTATTAGAATACAAACAAAAGGCAAACAAGCAAGTGGTGTGGCCACATGCTGATTTACTTATGAACAAGAGACACCTGGTGGTGTAATCATATGAAAGTGTAATCTTCAGCCTATGGTTTTGTCAATCCATTGCATTGTCTAGATTCCATACCTTCTCATCACCCATGATATCACTAAGATCATAGTCTTCAAACATCTCATCCCATCCTTTTAGATCTTGTTCCATCAGATATTTTTTCAAAAATTTACATCCACTTTCAGATAAATATGTCCCCGAATCTACCTGTTCCAAATAATCATATACTGATTCATAAGGCAATCCGGGAAATGTAATGCCCCCAAATTTGAAACTATAAACTATCCAACACAACAAGGATATATATATATATATATATATAATAAACTCACATTTACAACGAATCCCAACTTTTCTCTTTCATATTAAACTATAATTTCAAAATTACAAATTACATATTAACCATTCACAATTCAATAAGTTAGAGAAAACAAAACAATTGCCTCATGGGCTTATAGGTTTCAAATGTGGCCATCAAAAAACAAAAGGGCCCATAATTTTCCCAAAAGAAAATAACATAAAAGTTCTACTATTATT